ATGATGGATGGATGATGGATGGATGGATGGATGGATGATGGATGGTTGGATGATGGACGGATGATGGATGGATGATGGATGGATGGATGATGGATGATGGATGGATGGATGAATGGATGGATGGATGGATGATGGATGGTTGGATGGATGATGGATGGATGGATGGATGGATGGATGGATGGATGATGGATGGATGGATGATGGATGGATGATGGATGGATGGATGGATGATGGATGGATGGATGATGGCTGATGGATGGATGATGGATGGATGGATGATGGATGATGGATGGATGGATGGATGATGGATGGATGGATGATGGATGGATGATGGATGGATGGCTGGATCCCAGCCTGGGGATGAGGAGCAGGCAATGTGTGGTGGACTGAAAGCTCCCTGTGAGAGAGGTGCTTTGTGCTGGCATCACAGCCCGGAGCAGCAGTGGCTCTGGGCAGTGTGGGGGCTGCCTCTGCCTCTGTGGGGCTGCCAGGGCTCGAGCGACCCCCTTGGCCACCTGCTCTCCCAGCACGTGGCCTTTCTTCCCCTAACTGGGGAGGGGAAGGCTGCCTGGGACAGCCTGTATGGATTTGTGAGCCCCTGATCCCTGCTCTGGCTCCAGGTGTGGGTGGGGGACTCCAGTTCTGTCCCCCCATGCCTTGGCAGGGTGGCGGGGCCGTGGGTCTGGAGGTGATTATTTGGGAAAGCCACATCCTGCTGGTGTACACACATTCCTTCCTCGGGGAGGGCGAGTTCTTTCACGGGTCTGTTCTCTTTGTCAGCTCTTTGGCCCAGCTTTATTCTCTCCCCTTTTGTCTGGGCACCTTCCTTTCTCCTCGCTGTGCCCGTGCCTGGGGGTCTGTGAGCTCCTGCCAGGCTCAGTCCCAGGGGTGGGCTGGGAGAGTGCAAGAATTGCACTGTGGAACTTCTGGCTCATCTGTGCCTCACCTGCCTGCTCCCACACCCATTGCCATGATTAAAATCGGTGCTGGGAGTAGGAGGGCTGGAGGAGAGCGGAGCAGAGCAGCCCTCGGTGTGCTCAATGCCTGCAGATCACTGCTGAGTGTGGATGGGTCCTCAGAGCATCCCCCAGATCAACTGGGAAGTTCTTTAGCTGAAGGACCAAGCCCCAAGCCCACGTTTTGGGGGGATATTGTTGTTGCAGTTCTTTAGCTGAAGGACCAAGCCCCAAGCCCATGTTTTGGGGGGATGTTCACCACACTGTGAAGGGCTGCTCTTCTGCAGCACACTTGTCCCATGTGATTTCTGCCCTCGGAAAAGGCAGAATCATCCCCTTGAAGGGTGGCAGGGGATGTGGCAGGGAGGGTTCCCGGGGCTGTGCTCTCAGCAGGGCGGTGAGGGGCTGGAATTCCCGGTTACATAAGCAGGGCTGCCCGCACGTGATGGACACGCCAGATGTTCGGGGCTTATTTCTGTATCCTCCCTCTGCACATCTGCTCTCAGCACCACTGCCTGTGCTGCTCACTGCTGGGCTCTGTGTCCCCCAGGCTGGGCTGTGGGCTCAGCAAGGAGGGCTCCCAGGAACACGGGGCTCCCTGGGTGTCTGTCCCTCTGGGGTGCCCTGCTTGGTGCCATCCCTGCTCACACTGCAGCGATGCTGGGACAGGCACTGCCCCTCTCAGCAGCCCCTGCCTGGGCACCCATGTGGGTGCTGCTGCTGGGAGCCACCTGTGCCTCAGCAGAGCTGTCAGCAGAGGTCCTGGCCACACTCCCAGGGCACGTAGCCCCGCTGGCGTTGGTGCCCGCGCTGTGCTGTGAGGGTTACGTCAGGCCTCGTGTGGAGATGAAGCGTGGGAGCACAGAGGGCCAGGAAATCGGCTCAAAACGCTTTTCTTCTAACTACACGTTTTTAGTGCTCAGCATTGACTCTTCATCGCTTGTCTGTTTTCTGATCCTCCTTCAGAATCTGCCCTCTCCCACTTTATTTTTAAAAAGGTTTTTGTTCCGCGGCTCTCCGTGCTGGGTCGCGGTGGCGCTGCCTTTGGTCCCCTGTGAATAGCAAAGCGGCTCCTTTATTCTGGAGGCTTGGCCTGGAGGCTCAGCATTCCTGCAAAAACAGCCACGGGCCTGGCAGGCTGTGGTGAAATAATGGAGAGCCCGCCACAGGACAGGCTGGGCCGGCTATTTTAGGGATATTCCAATATCCAGGTCTGTCACAGATGAGTCACTGCCACCGAGGGGATATTTGCTTATTCCTGTGTGCTTTGATCATGGCCTGGATGAGTGAGTCCTGCTGGCCAGACAGCTGAAGTTATTTTATTGCTAGAAAAAGGGGTTTTGGCTACTGGCAGTGTTGTGGTGAGGGAACAGCTCAAGCTGAGGGATTCAGGTGCAGCAGGCAAGATGCTGCTCCTTCCCCAGGAGTGAGCCTGGGCTGCTGTGTGGATACCCCTGAGGTGGGAGCAGGGCGTTTCCAGGGCTGATCTCCTTTCTTTCCTTGCAGTACATCGGGAGCCTGGATGTGCCGCGGCCCAACAGCCGCGTGGAGATCGTGACGGCCATGCGGCGCATCAGGGTGAGTGTGGCCTTCTCCTCCCTCCTCACCCACAGCTTCACCTCACATCATTCCTGTCCTCTGTCCCTCTCCATCTCACCTGGGCTCCTCAGCTTGTGCAGGAGGCTCCCGGGGTCTCACTGCGTGTGTGGGAGCTCCAGCACATGCAAAATCTGGGTATGGCAGCGGGTTAGTGCTGAATGGCAGTGTGCACATCACACAGCAGGGTGAGCAGCTCTGGGGCTGGCCAGCAGTGAGCCTGGCTAAGGGTGAGTAGGTCAGGGGGTATCAGCTGCTAATGAAGTCATCTGGCTTCCCAAAATACAGGATATGGGACACCCTTGCTGTGTAATGCTTGGCCAGGAGCCAGGAGAGGAGCTTTTCCTCTGCTCCCCAGCCTCTGGCCAGCACAACTGCAGGGTGTTGGAGGGGCTGGGAGGGCAGCAAACCATGCAGCCCAAAACTCGCTGTCCCCAGGCTGGGAAAAGCAGGAGCTGACTGGTGTCCATGGCCTGGGGTTTGCTGTGTCCTGGAGTGTGCCCTGTCCTCCAGGGCTGGCTCTCCTGGGAGTAACGCTGAGCAGGAAGGGCCTGCAGGGACATTGGGTAAGGGATGAGCTCTCTGCCATGGGACCCCATAAGCACCAAAGCTGCCCCAGAGCTCTGCTCCTCTCAGCCCCTCTTGCACACTGGCTATAATCTCATTTCTCTTTCACCAGAGGAGGAGAGGAGTATCCTAGCCCAAGGTGAGGGGCATCACGTTCAAAGGACAGAGATTTCCAGGCTCTTCTGTTTCAAACCTCCAGGGTGTAAATAATGTGTGGGCTTTCCTCAACAGCTTTCCTGCCTGCAGTCCTGTCCTCCCCGTGGGGGTTAATGCTGGGACGGGCTGGGAAGGCCTTCATGGCATTAAGTTTTCCCACCTTGTGTCCAAAGTTTGGGACAGAACATCAAGAGCTCTCATAAACAGCAGTTTCCTTCACTGCCTGTGAAGATAAGACTTTGGAACAAATGCACCACCAGCCCCAAAAATCACAGAACTCCAGTGTGGAAGGACTGGCACAGCTTCGAGGGCTTAGAACATCCATGTTGACCAGTATAAATAAACTCCAGCACAGTCTAGAAAATTCCTAGGTAGAGCTCTGAGTGGCAGTGAAAGGGCACAGAGCGGGGTGAAATAATGGTTTCTGTGGTGAGTGATGTGTGCTCAGGCTTCCTTCACCTGGTGTGAGGCAGGAGAGGTGCAAGTCATTGAAAGGCCAGATGAGATCTGCCAGAGAGGCTTTGGATGCCTGTTGAGTGGTGTGGAGTGCTGGCTGTGCACATGCAGAGAGGTTTTGGATGCCTGTTGATTTCTGTGGTGGCTGTGTACATGCAGAGAGGTTTTGGATGCCTGTTGATTTCTGTGGAGTGCTGGCTGTGTACATGCAGAGAGGTTTTGGATGCCTGTTGAGTGGTGTGGTGGCTGTGTACATGCAGAGAGGTTTTGGATGCCTGTTGATTTCTGTGGAGTGCTGGCTGTGTACATGCAGAGCTCTCCCCTGGGTTGCTCTGCCCTGGCTGCCTGGCAGCAGAGGGACCACAGCACTGCTGAGGATGTTTCTGGCCAGGCTCTTGGCTTGGTGGAGCTGAGGGAACACATGTCCTCCTTACAGACACGGCTACCCTTCTGCTGTGAGGCACAGAACAATCCCATCGTGCTGCCACGGGGAAACCAGAGGAAGGAAAGCGTTTGTTTAGGTGCAGAAAGCAAGCAGAGGGAGATCACCAAGTGCAAGCAGCAGCAGTTTTGTGTGTAGGGTGTGCAGCAGCTGCTGACCCCGAGGTTTGTGTGGATTTTGATGCAGTCCCTGGTTTAGGGGGAAGGTGCTCTGTCTCAGTTTGTTCCAAGGTAGTCACTGCTGATGAAGGAGGGGGATCCTCACCGTCCCCTCTGCTGCCTCAACTCCCCTTCCTCAGTGCTGCCTTCACCACTCTGCTCCCTGGGCTTTGCCTCTCTTTACTGAGTGGTTTAAAAATGACCCTGCAAAGAAGTGAGGATGCTGTCTGCCCCAGCAGGGGGATCCTGGTGGGGAAAGTGCCCTGGGAGCCCCCCATGACTGCCCACGCTGGGCTGGGAGCAGGGAGGGACCTCTGGCAGCGCTGCCCCCCTGCTCCAGCATAGCAGGAGGGGTGGAGGAGCCCAAAGCTGGTCCCTTTCGTGGTCAGGGCTGGGAGGAGCTCTAAACAGGGGCTTGGTGTTGCAGGCCAAGGATGCCATCCCCTTCTCCCCACTGCTGAAGGGCTGGTGATGCCATGGCCAGAGCGAGTTTCTGGCAGGAGAATGTGGAGAATTCCCGGGATTCTTGCAGCTGGGGCTGAGGAGGGAAGGGGAGGTGCTCAGCTGACTGTCTCTGCTTTTCCTTCCTGCCTGGGCTGGGTGTGCTGGGAGCACAGCCCTCTCTGCAGCACACCTGGTGTGACATGGCTCGGTGGAATGGGACATCAGCCGTGCTAAAGATGCTCTGGGAGAGCAATTCTGAGAGCATTTGCTCTCCTCCAAAGCCACATCTCTCCCTGTGACCACTGATGGCCACATAGGTGATAAACAGGGCACAGCAGGGCTCATTTCTGGGCAGGCAGCAGGGCCAGTAGAGCTGGCTCTGTCTCCTCCCCATCCCAAACAGGGTGACCCTGTCCATGTTACCTCACCCTCAGCTGCTGGAGTGGGCTGGCTTTCCAAATGCTCCTTGGCTCCTCTGGGTGCAGGATACCAGGAGCTGATCCCTAAGTCCAGGAACCTGCCTGAACATCCAAATCCCCAAACTGAGAGTGGTGTGTCTTCCCTAAGCCCTTCCCACTGTGTCTTCCCAGCCCTACGGGCTGTGAGCTGCTGCAGGTGTCAGGTGGAAGGGCCTGAGCAGGAGGCAAGATATCCTTCTCCTTCCCCTCCCTTCCTGGTGAGCTCCTGGGCCCTAAATGACAACAACTGTGTATTTTTTACATGATGTAAATTCATGATGTAAATTCATGATGTAAATTCATGATGTAAATTCATGCCCATGCTTTCCTCCCCATGCCCCTGGCATGGCTGCTTGCCTGGGCCTTGGTGCTGTGGTTCTGGAGAGCTGGGAATCAGCCCTTTTGGATTGCTGAGTGCAGCTTTGATCCAGGTTTTCTTTGGAGCCAGAAAGGATGAAATCCTATACAGACACTTCTTAAAAGCTGCCTCAGTGGAAGTCTCCTGCAAGGCTGTTTCTGGGAGGTGTCCAGCTGAGTTCTGCAGGCTCAGAACAGGGAGGCATTCCAAGCACTTGAGAATCTTGCTCCTCTACACCTCCTACTCTGTCAGGTACATCTGATTTTTGTGGGACTTGTGCTGCTTTGCATAGCTGAGCTCAATTTTAGCGAATTGGCAGAACTGCTGAATTTCTACAAGCTTGTGTAAAGCAAGATTTCTCATCCTCTGCAGGCCACAGGTGCAGCTGGACTGGTGTGAAAATTGATGTGTTTGGCCAGTTACTGGTGTAGAGCTCCTGCTCTGACTCTGAGCTCCTTTCATTACAGTATTTCTCAGCTGTCCCTGCTCTTGCCGTGGTGGGTTTTTAAAAGCTTGAGGCCATTCACAGCGATGCTTTCCTTTCTTCCCTTCTCTCTCTGCCCGTGCACTGGTGTCCCTCTGTAGGAGGGAGCAGGATTTGGGAGCAGGCTGGCCCTGTGTGCCCAGCCCTGTCTCTGAGGACCAGCACAGTGGGCAGTGGGCTGGCCAGGAGGTGCTCAGGCTTTGGCCACCTGAAGGGCACAGCCTGCTTGGTGCCAAGCCCTGGCACTCGCTGCAAGGTGAATTGATGTGGGTATCCAAGATGAACAAGATTATGTTGTGTTGGACCTGGGAGGAACTGAAAGGATGACTGTAATAATTTAAATTGCTCTTTCAGTGCTCTGACAGGCACAATAAAGGGCTGAAGCCTTCTGGGCATGCTTGCATTTCTCCTGGCATCACCAGTGCCACTTAACGTTGTAATAAAATAATGGCTAGTCTGGTGTTGCTACCAGCATGGCATGAAATGGGCCAGGAGCTCATCCTGTGCTTAGTGTTTAATCAATAACTGGTTAAATTGGTACCCAGATTGATTGGAGCAGCCTTTTGTCCAGGACTGGCCACGTTTCCAGGAGAGCTGGCCCAAGCCTGCTGACCTGGCTCTGTCGCCTGCCTTGGGGTCACGGCCAGGACGGGGCCGGTGTTTCCCAGTGGAGCTGTGTGGTTCCAGTGCACAGCAGTGAAACAGGGGGTTCAGGGAGGTTCTGGCTCTGGGGCAGAGGACAGGTCTGGACTGGGGAAGGGCTGTGAGATGTGAGCCATTAATGCTGGGAGGAAGGGCCAGGAGCCTTTGGAAAGGCACAGAGAGGGAGCGAGCAGTGCCCGTGCTGGGCTGGGCAGCAGTGGCAGGGCTCTGCCAGCTCTGACCTCCTGGTGCTGGGGAGATGAGGAGCAGGAACACTCCCAGCCCTGCTCCCTGCCTGCAGAAATAACTCAGGACAAGCTCACTGCTTCCAGCTTCCAGCAATGCCCTGCCCGAGAGCTCTGTGCCAAAGCTGCGGCGGCAGCGTGTCCCTGCCAGGCTGGGGCAGGAGCGCACAGGGGCTCCCAGCTGGATGGACAGCTCGGTGGTGGGGCAGGTGAGGATGAAGGGAGGCACAGCCAGGCCTGGCAGTGTGGTTTGGGGAGCTCCTGAGGCAGGAGGTGGATGCTGTGTGAGCTGCTGTGTCCCGAGGAGCTCAGCGCCTCTGCTGCGGGCAGGGACACACGGCTGGCAGCGGGTGTGCCAGCACAGGCAGCAGCCTCTGGTGGGTGATGCTGGCCTGGAGCCAGCCCAGTGCCTTGGAGAGGACTGGGAGCCCAGCAGGCAGCAGGCCCAGGGCAGGAGCTGCTGCAGAAGGCTGGGAGGCAGCAGTGCCTTCTGTCCTCTGGCACATCCTTCCCTCCTCCTGCCCGGCTGGACCTTCCTGGGCTGGACTCTGCTGCTTCTCTGGGAGCCTGTG